AGGCAGAGCAGGGAGCCAGGGTGGAGATGATGGGACCAAAGGCCCCCACAGTGGAGCAGAAGACCATCAGAGCAGACGGGACAGAAGACACTCACAGTGGAGCAGAAGACCACCACAGCTGAGTGGACAGGACCGAAGACCTTTAAGATGACCACCAGGGTGGAGCTGATGGAACTGAGGACAACCAAGGCTGAGCTGATAGAACTGAGGACCACCAAAGTGGAGTAGACAAAACTGAAGCACCCTTCAGCAGAGCAGACAGAGCAGAGGACCACCATGGCAGAGCTGAAAACCACCACAGTGGATCAGCCATGACAGGGCAGAATGAGAGTTCAGAGACAGCCTCTTTGGCAGGACTGACAGAGTGTTCAGAGACAGGTGTGGCTTCCTCGGGAGAGTCTGGAGTGGACACTGCCAATTCGGGATGTAAGGGAAACAGGTCAATTTAGCTCAAAGGGAATCATTTATGATTTTATAGGGAATTTGGACAGAATCACTGTTTTACGGCTGATCACTGAGTCGGCCAGCGATTAATTGAACGAGCCATATAACATCAATTCTGCAATGGATATTAATATCCAAAGTATAGTGAAAATACTATTTATTAGCACAGTAACAAGATCGGCAGTTTAAGACATTAACTTGTAAGCACAAAACACAGGATACTTCTCTTTTCAATATAAATAAGGCTTTATTAGATAAATCTAAGACATATAAACTAGTCTAACACATAAACACACGCACTCACACATTCACACAAGTTGCAGGAAGAGAGAAAGTGAGGACAGAATGAGTTTAAGAGAATGAAAATGTGAAATCCCAAGTTTACAGCAACATGTGCAATTGCATAGACCTGAACAACCATCAATCACTCAATTAACCCTCGAATTGAGTTCCTCAATGAGGTTAAAATTTATATTAAATGCACCAGTTCAGCTAGAATCTGGAGGTACTTGCCTTGCCTGTGTAGGGGGGTTCCCTTTGTTGTTGTCTTTGTAGAAAAGGGGGTTTCCCAAGGTTGCTGATTGGCTGGATTCCAGGGTTTTTTCCCGGGACATTTCCTTCGAAAATGAAATTTAACCACCGTGTCCTCAGCGGTCTATGGAGACTCCTATGTTCGTTGGTGCATCCCAACACACGGTTTAATGGCTCTTTGGCGCTGACATTGCACCTCCAGCAGCAACAGCAAGAAAACAGTAATGGCGGACTGCTGCTTCTCACTCAGGGCTGTGTATATGCTAATAGGGCAGAGAGCGTCACAAATGGGCGGGACTTTCCCCGAGTATGATGTCATAGTAGTGAGAAATCTGGAACTGCTAGTGTGGAGAGACTGTTTATGATTCATTGGGATTATAAAACAATGAGTGGGTGGATTTTTGCCATTATAGGCTGGTTGTTTTCACACACTGCGGCCACACAACTGTGTTCAAGCACCTTATAAAAGTGATTTTTGCATTCTATGGCACCTTTAACTCAGAACACAAAACTCTCAACGGAAAA